AGCAACTTCTCCATAGAGCGGAACAAAAATTCCAGCAGTTCAGTCCCTGCTTGCAGTTGACTGTCCTGAGCTAGTTTTCCTACAGAATCAGTGTAAACAAGTGTCCCATTTCATTTGCTTCTCAAGGTTTCTTGACTTCAAACATTTTCCTGCCTCACTATTGTCTTAGGCTTCTAGTCCCTCTATTTTTAGCTTGGATTTTATATTTTGCTTTCTCCACTTCAACTTGATCATGTTATTCTAATTTTTGGCCTTGATGAATTACATTTGACTACTTTGTTCACCCTCTCACCGTCAAATTCAAGTGTTTCTTTCAGGAAATTACAGGAGCTGAAGCGTGCTTCTACTTTTACTCAAGGAATGCTACAATTCTTTATTCAGAGACTCATGTGCTGCTCCTCTTTTTGTTGCCTGTTGGTCTCCTAATGCAGGCGAGAAGGAAGTGGATTTCAGCTTCTTGAACGTTAAGGAAGCCTTTCTGAAACTTGTTTGAATGGATTTCTCCCATCTCACTTTCTTTAAACAGTCTTTATCATTATTATTATGGTTTAAATCTGACAACGGCTTTATTTCCTCAAAGAGTGGTATATTTGATGCACATTTGATGTAGTGGAACCAATCCATCATCTTCATTAAAGGCACAAGTCCTTCTGCTGCTCTTTACCTATGGCTCTGTTATTGCTTTTAAGCTGTAGACTACAATTTAGTGAAGCACCTATAATCTGGATTCAGACTGCATGGACCCATGTTCTGGCTCCACCACTTATTAGACAAGTGGGGTTTGGCAATTTACTTAAGCCTGGTGTCATAACCAATAAAACTGCATTAAGAATTTGCTTATAGGTTTATTGTGATGCTTAAATAAAATATCACAACACAAAGCATTTTAAAGTGATTTTTTTCCAACTGTACAATAATAATATGTAGAACTTTGGATTAAAGTCAAGTAGTAGAAATTTTTTATTTGTAGATTTTTATTTTTTGGTACTGGGGTTCGAACTCTGGCCCTTGTGCTTGCGAGGCAGGAGCCGGAACCACTCATCTAAATCCCCGGCCTGTATTCTAGGTTTTTGTTGTTGTCAGGTGCAATACCTTATACACACCACTGTACCTGGGGATGTGGCCTGACCCATAGTGCGACAGAATCCAAAGTACCCAGCAGCAATTTGCAACCAGATTTAAACGTGTCTTCTCTCTGTATCCAAGAGAAGCCTCCACTGAGGGCTTGTTCAGCTCAGAGCCTGTGGCTGGGAGCCAGAAGGAAATTCAGGGGAATAATAGACTCTTAGATATGTCTTTTACTACATCTCAGAGATTCATTTACTGTCTCCTCAGCTAAAGTTCTTAATTTCTCTGTCTTGCACATGATTATTGCTGGAGGAATTTGTGCCTTGAAAGCCATTTGAGAGAAACAGAAAATGAGAGGCAAATTGGTATTGATGTATCCTTTTTGCTTTGCAAAATTTTTATATTCTGTTGAGCCCAGTCATGCAAAGCAGCAAGACCTAACGACTGGATTTAATGCCCTATGAGGATCAGGTGGCAGGTAAGGAGAACTATTAGTAAACATTAAACTCATGTCTCCTATGTATTTGGGGACTACTATACATTTCCTGGATACTGATACCCATAAGCTTCAGAACTCATATTCAACTAGTCAGTTGAAAAAGTGTCTGTATGTCCACCCACAATATTTATTGGCTATTTGTTATGCATAAAAACTCTTCTGACTCCTGGACCTTAATCTATGTCCTTAGCTTTACATTTTGGTGAGAGAAGCTAGTCAAGAAAAAATAATGTAGCCGTGTGTGGTGGGGCATGCCTATAATCCCAAGGAGGCTGAGGTAGGAGTATTGCTATGAGTTTGAGGCCAACCTAGGCTGCATAGTGAGTGCAAATCCAGTCTGAACTACAAAGGGAGACCTATCTCAAAATAAACCAACCTAAATAAATAAATACATATTTTTCACACCAGAGAAACTATTCAGTATTTACACATGCATGGCTTATTTATTTCACTTAGGAGTATATCCTCAATATGTATCCATTTTCCTATGAATGAATCTAATAAGTGGGAAGGGTAGGGGAAAGGTAATAAGGGAAAAGAAAAAAATATGAGAAAATGAAAAAATGGAAATAAAGTGTTTGTAAATGGGGAGGGGAGGAGGGGGTGAAGGGACAAGGGGCAAAAATGAGAACAAGGATCTGTCATGTAACGGTACAAGATCCCAATGATGAATGTAAGTGTACTGTACACCTAATAAGTTCAATGAGGAAAAAAAAGAGAAAAACATAATATGAATACTACATAGAAAAGGAAAGGATGGAGGATTTCAATAGGCAAAATTGGTCCATAGACAATTGTTAACTGTTAAAGGGATGTGATCAGCTTCCCATCCTGAACCCACAACACATTGGTCGGCCATTTGTTGAGCACCAGTTACGGTCCACGCACTGCTACACACTTACATTTGCTTTCTGATGTAATCATCACATCAATTCTATGAAGTTGTTGTATTACTGACTTCATTTTACAATTGAAGAAACTGAGACTCAGAAAAATTAAGTAACTTGTCTAAGACCACATTGCTAGCAGTAGCAGAAGTGACACTGATAACCAAGTTCGAGACCCTTCACTACCACAAATCCAGTTGCTGTGGGGAGCATTGGAGAGCAATGGGTAGCTCAGGTCCCACTGCTGGGTGGCTGCCCTCAGGATCTGGAACTGCCCAGAACAGTGCCCCATGCTAGGGCCCAAGGACTGAGGATTGCTTCCAGATCTGAAGGAAAATGCTCTGAATATAATGATTCTTTGAAACTTTGATATTTATTCAACCTTTCTGTTCTCCCAGGTGGAGAGGCAAGGTGAGCTGTTTTGCAATAATTCTTCCATGTCTTCAGATTTTTTCAGCACACACACACACACACACACACACACACACACACACACAAAATGTTAGGAAGCAGAGACCACACCTTCTGCATGGTGAGGTCAGAGAAAGATCAGCTCAGCTGCCTGCATCCTTCCCTTAAAGGCACAGGGGCAGGGTAGCCTCAGCTTCACTGGCTTGGAAGTCCTGAGAAGTGGGCCCAGACTCTCAGGCTTGTTTCAGGACGGTTGCTATTCTTGACCCCCTTCTGCAGGGAGAGGGCAGGTGACAAAGACTGCAAGTGCTTGCTTTGGACAGAGGAGCAAACTAAGAGCTAGTGCTGCAACCCATTGCAGGCAGAGTGCATGGTGTGGCATGGATTTCCCTGCTGCCTAGGCCCTCCCTTTGCACACCTCTCCCAGGCCCAAGGTGCATATTTGTGCCAGGAGGAACAATGTTTAGCCCCCTTGTCCCTGGGGCAACACCAAGAAGGCCAACTGCAGTGAAGACAGGAAGTGAGGCTTGGAAAAATCTGAGAATGGAAGCAATTTGAGAACTTTCAGTTAAATCTTATCTCCAACATGCAACATCACATTTTGCAGTCAGTTCTCCATTCCCAACAGAGAAAGGTGTTTACACTTACTATTTCCTCTCTCCAGCCTCACTCATTGTGTATTCCCAGTGCCCAGCAAAGTGTGTGGTGCATGATGGGTGCTTAGGACTATTGTTTGCCAAATCCATCCTGAAGGAGGCACTTTGGGGAAATGTAGAAGCATTTGGAAAATGGCTTTGTTGTTGGGTGGATCATGTCCTAGGGAAAGGAGGAATCTCAGGACCTGGGATTCACCCAGAACCTTATGCTGGGACAATCTCTCAGGAGGCTGTGGGTGGACACAGAGTACTCCAGGACTAGAGACTGCAAGGACCTTATGCCAGGGCAGGGAACTCCTACAGCTAGGTCTGGGGAGGCAGAAGTTACAACACCCTTCCCAAATCTGAGTGGAAGAGGGGCATTCTGGAGGTGCAGCAATGTTTTCCGTTGGAAACTCAAATGGTCTGGGTGGGGGCTCTAGTCCAGAAATGCTGCCAGTTAAAGTTTACATCTAAGGCATAAAGAATCTGGCCTTTAGACTGGAATTGGCAGCTGGATGGAGAAAAAGTAGTGGAAAATTTTTAAGGCTTGCTTATTGTCATTTCATCTGAACCTGGAAGACTTGTTTTTCTGGGTGAAGAAATGTTTTCTCTGTGTGTAGGTTTCATAATCACAATCATGTACGCCTATGAGCCTTCCTACTTAAAGTGGCTCCTCTCTTTTATCTGTGACATGCCAACACCCTGGGTGTAAGGATTGAGTCAGCTCCTGAGATTCAGCAGAGTGACTACTAAGGTCTCTTTGCATTCTGTGTTGCCATGATCCCTTGACTATGGATGACCAGCACTTGACATCGACACTCTTTGGATTTCATACACGTGGAGGCATCCTTACTTTGTGATCTCAACTGAGTTTTGAGTAGGTAAGTAAAAGGGCAGGAGGCATACAATGAAGTCAGCCATAGAAGCAGTGTTTAATGTGGTCATCTGGGAAATGGAAAATGAACCTTTTAAAGTTTTCCAAAGCCATACCAGGAGAGTTAACCTGTGCTGAGAAGAGTAGTCTTACAACTTAAAAACAAATAGCCACTGTAATTAAAATGGGTCAGAAACAATGAATTCTATAAAGACAAAGGCAAAAATCATTTATCTGGAAGGGAAAATGTTACCCAAGTACATTACTGAGTTTCTGTGAAGATGAGCTTGAAATAAAAACAAAGGAGAGATAACTATGAATGGAACTGTCCAAAAATACATAAACACCAATATTGTCTCTTTGATCTTTTTAATTCCAGCCCTCTCTCACTACTATAAAATCATAACACCACCAGTGTACCTTTAACAGCTTTTTAGGAACATATTAACCAAACGCACAAGTTTGATTTGGCCATAAAGTACTAGAGGAGCTAAGGTTTTTCTAGGATTAATGAATAACATGTCTTTATTTGGTTTACTTAAAAAATAATTCTAAAATCTGTTTACATATCTGTCCTCTCCAGGATTAACTTTATATTGGGTCAGCAGATTGTTTACTGTTTTCCTCTTGTCTTTTTTTTTTCTTCCCTCCTCAGTGCCCAACCCAAGTTCAAAGGCTGATGAGAGAAAAATTCAAGAGGAGATTTTACTCTAGGGAAAGTTGTTCAGTGGATGGGATCTTGGCGCACAAGGAAAGATGTCAGGCTCCTTCTGGCTCCTTCTCAGCCTTGTTGCTGTAACTGCTGCTCAGCTCACCATTGAGGAACAGGCCAAGACATTTCTGGACAAGTTTAATCAGGAAGCCGAAGACCTGTCTTATCAAAATTCACTTGCTTCTTGGAATTATAACACCAATATTACTGAGGAGAATGTCCAAAAGATGGTAAGTTTGCAGGTTACATAGTGGGTATTTATTGCTTTTTAAGATTTGAATTACTGTCCAGAAAAGTGAAAGGGGAAATCAAAGAAATCTCTGAGTTGTGGAGTTGCATGTTTGCCTCTGTATCTCTGATTCTGGAGTCTCAGATGACTAAACTTGATTGACCTTGGAGTTTATTTGAAAAATTGTTAGAAAATAATTCACTGGTCTCAGCCTAGATTCTAGAAACAAGTGAACATGCATTATAAAGTTACCATCATAATTATCAAAGCATTTCATGGAAATGCCATAAGCTATTGAGTCAGTAATTTCCTCTACACTATAAGAATATCTAAAGATTTTGCAAATGACATATTAACTGAAAAATGCAACCAGACTCTTACTGACAAAACCAGCTAGTAATTAAGTTAACCATGGGTTGAGTGAGACTGGACTTGGGATTCCTTCTCTTCATTGTCACAGAACTCTGAGGGACTTCCAAAGGTCACAGCAGAGCTCTCCAAGAAAAACTGTAATTAAAATAGTTCTGAGGAATCTCAGAATGCTCTGGGAAAATATGACCATCGTACTAGTAAAACAGTATATATTATATAGGACTGATGAGGTTAGAGAATATATAATTCTTTGTGTGTGACATGTGACACTGTGTCTGCTACTTAGCTTCTCTACATCAACATCAACCATGACAGTACTATTATTATTATTATTCAGGGGTTTTACCTTCTGAAACACCCGTAGTCTCACTGCTATCTCAAATTGGTTTTTTTTTTTAAGTAAATAAAGTCTTTTTAGTAAGTCTAAAAAAATTCAGAGCTGAGAGAAGCCAGAGCCTCCTATTTCTGAGGCTCTTCTGAGATTCACAGAACAGATGAGGGAGAATATGAACTTGAGAGGAGGCAATGCAGTTCCCAGAAACAGCCATAATGTTCTTTTCTTTGATTGTTTCTTGGCTGCCCGGCAGCAGAGAATTTAGGGTCAAGAATTCAAAAATATCAGCCTGGGTCTGTGTATATTGACAGCAAACCTTTCCAGCACAAAGGGGAGAATTTATTACCATTAGTTTGCATATGATTTACTTTACCTTATGTTTTACTGTAGACCAGCATGTGTTCTTTATAAGACATGCACTGACTCACTAAATTAAAAACAGAATGGATTTGTTGTAATGAAACTATCTGACGATCTACTTTTTCTTTGGAATAAACTATGAATGAACTTCTTGGGCAGAGAAAATAACTGGCTTTGTCATCCCCAGTGTTTAACATTTGCTCAACAGTAACTGTCTTAACTGAAAGCAAGTAAAATATTGGAAATGACCTTTAATATTTTTAATATTAGAAACCACCTGATGTTTCTAATATTATTTTTGTGGTATATTTAGTACCTCAAAGAAGTTTCACAAATTCTGAAAAAGTTCTCCAGTAATATAAATATTTATGGTATGTTATAAAGCAGGTTTTGAGTAGATCATTAACACATAGGCAAGTGTTTGGAAAAATGATCCAAACTACAGTCAAAGCATAATTTCATTGTCAAAAGTTGTGATATGTAGTAAAATTACATAAATTACATATATACAATAGACAATATAGGTTGTATATGTGTTGCCTGTTTCATTTATGACTCAGGAAAAGACCTAGAAGTGATTCAGGATTGTCCTCTGATGATTTTTTTCTTTTTATTGAGTTTATTGGTACATTCTAGGCATACAGTATGGTTACATTCATTGTTGGGATCTTGTACCTCTACATGACAGATCTTGGTTCTCATTTTTTCCCCTTATCCCTGCCCTCCCTTCACCCCTTCTTCCCCTCCCCATTTACGAACACTTTATTTCCATTTTCTCGTATTTTTTTCTTTTCCCTTATTCCCTTTCCCCTACCCTTCCCACTTTCCCTACACCTTTCCTCTGATGATTTTTAACTGAGTACCTTTCCATGAGTATTGTGACCAGCATCACCTGGAAGGTTCTGGAAAGAAAAGAGAGACCATTAGCCCATTCCTTTGAAAGCACATCTATGATGATCATACTTAAAGGAAGAATTTTAGAAATGGAAACTGTCCCACCAAAAAGAGCTATCAGAATGATTTAAGGAGGTAAAAAAAGAGTTGAAAGTCACACAAAACCTAACTCAGAGAAAAACGATAGCCTGGTGAAACAAGGATAGCGTGTTTACTGCCATACTGGCCAAATCTTTATACTAGAAGTGCAGTACAGTTGAAAGATTAATAGAGTTAAATTTACAGGAAATAGAACAAAGTGCCATTTATATCTCAAGTGGTAAAACTGATAGGACTTGTAAAACTGGGCTAATCTTGTCTCTCTGTGTTTGATTAATTTCACTAAACATAATGACCTCCTGTTCTGTCCATTTTCCTTCAAATGACATAATTTCATTCTTTTTATGGCTGAGTAATATGTATATAATTTTTTCAGCTTTAATTCAGTTTACTGGTACATTTTAGGGATACCATACAGTTACATTCATTGTTGGGATCTTGTACCTCTACATGACAAGTCTTGATTCTCATTTTTCCCCTTGTCCCTGCCCTCCCTTCACCCCCTCCTCCCCTCCCCATCTACAAATACTTTATTTCCATCTTTTCATTATCTCACATTTTTTTCTTTTCCCTTATTACCCTTCCCCTACCCGTCCCACCTTCCCTACACCTTTACCTCCTTTCTTCCCATTTCTCAGTGTCAGTAATCTTATTAGGATCTTCTGTATTATTGCAGATTATTCACACCAGAGAGACTATTCGGTATTTACACATGTGTGCCTTATTTATTTCACTTAGGAGTATATCTTCACTATGTATCCATTTTCCTATGAATATGTATATAATTTTAAAAGTTCATTCATTTGTTGATTGGACACCTAGGCTGATTCCATGTCTTGGTTATTGGGAATGGATCTCCAATAAACATGGCTACACAGGTATTTCTTTGTACACTGACTGCATTTCCTTCAGGTGTATCCCCAGGAGTGGTATAACCAGATCATATAGTAGAACTATTTGTAGTTTTTTTGAAAGGAACCTCCCTGCTGTCTTTCATAGTGACTGTACTAATTTACATTCTCACCAACAGTGTACAAGGGTTTTTTTTCCCTCTACCTGTTCACCATCATTTATTATTGTTATTATTATTATTATTATTTTGATAATAGCTGTTCTGACTGGAGCGAGATGGAAGGAATCTCAGTGAAGTTTGATTTGCATTTCCCCAATGGCTACAGATTTTGAGTATTTTTTCATATATTTATCGGACATTTATATCTCTTTTGAGAAGTGTCTGTTCAGATTATATGCCTATTTATTTATTACTCTCTCTTTTGTTGTTAACCTTTTGAGTTCCTTATATATGCTGGATACTAATCCTCTGTCATTGAATACCTGGCAAAATTTTTCTCCCATTCTGAGCCATCTCTTTATTCTTTTGTTTGCTCCTTTGATGTGCAGGATCTCTTTTTTGATGCAATACCATTTGTCTATTCTTGCTTTTATTTCCTAGGCTATTGGAGTCACATTTAGGAAATTGTTGCCTGTGCCAAGATCTTGAATTATTTCCCATTTTCCTTTAGTAGTTTCAAAGCTTCTAGAATCATATTAAAGTCTTTAATCAATTTTGAGTTGATTTTTGTAGAGAATGAGAGGTCAGGATCTAGTTTCAGTCTTCTAAATAAGGATATCCAGTGTTCTGAACATCACTTGTTAAAGAGGCTGTCTTTTCTCCAGAGTATGTCTTTGGAACCTTTGTCAAGAGTCAGATGCTTGTAGTAGATGCGTGGGTTTATTTCTGGGCCCTCTAGTCTGTTGATGGACTCAGTTCTTGATTCTTTTCTATAAGAATGTCTAAGGTCATATCCTTTTGCGTGCCAATCCCAATGCAGGTTATGTCACTGTGTCCTTTATGATGAGTCTTCCTTTGTGTTAGCACAGATGATGCAAGCATAGGCATGGAATGCACTTGAATAATGGGGTTTGTCTTTTGCACCTTTGCCTTTGCCAGGCGAACATGCCTAGACTAGCCAACTAAAACTGACCGACACAGGAAGTAATTTCCCAAGCAAAGCCAACTTCCAGAATTGTAAGCAATTCTAGCCACACTTAGCCAATTAGCTGAGTTGACTTCCAATTCTAAGCGATAGTAGGTTTATAAGCAATAAACACTTATGCAGTTGAGGGTTTTGATTGTTTTTATATAGTATCAGTATAACTGTGGAAAACCGTAGAAGAAGAAAAATTTGGAATGCATGACTATGTATGTTTATATCGTATCATCATGGCATTATTGAGGACAATATGACATTTTCATATTGTCTTTAGCTGTAACCTTCAGAAGCCAGGATATTGGGCTTGTCATCCTACGGATCTGACATAGTATGGCAAGCCTTAGATAGAGTTAAAATAATAGAAGGTATCAAACTTGAACAGTACAATGTCCTAAATATTGCCTACCTAGAGTGTGGCAGAGACCATCTGATAGTGATAATGAAAAATATTTGGTTCAAAACATGTTTACAAAGCTCTCTTATTTTTCATTGACATTGTGGTTGTGTAGCTGACTCCATTCCTTGCCATATCTTCTTTATTTTTTTTCCTTTTTTCTTTATTGGTACATGTTAGGTATACAATACAGTTACATTTATCATTGGGTTCTTGTACCTTTACATGATATATCTTGGCTCTTGTTTTTTCCCCATTCCCCTGCCCTCCCTTTACTCCCTCCACCCTTCCCTATTTACAGAGACATTGTTTCCTTTTTTTCCCTTTTCCCTTCTTATAAGACTTATAAGATTAAAGAATTTCTGGCTGTGAAAAAAAGGATTATACCATTCCCCAGTAGATCTGGATGAAAACTGATAATAAAATCAGATACAATTCTGAGGAGATACTGGAGGCATAAGTAATTGCAATGAGATGGAATATATATTTACACGGTATCAGGGTTATTCACACTTTAACATGTCAAACTGAAAATATCATTACTCTCTAGACAG